TTTGTCTGAAAGAATAAAAAAAAAAAAAAAAAAAAATATATATATATATATATATATATATATATTTATTTATTTATTTATTTATTAACATGTTAGACAAGATGGCAGATGAACATAATTGGGCCTCCTTGTAGCGTGAAATCATTTGTTAAATTAGAAAGTAGAAACTGAAAACAGTTGAAGCGTGCATCACGTCCTTCAGAGCATCCACTTTTCGCCTGTCACGCTAACTACCATCAACAGAATACAATGTTGCAAAACTATCTATATTTTCAGTAAATTTCACTCTCTTCTTCTTTTAAGAACACAAGTGCATTAATACACGTAAAACAAAAGTTATACAAAATTATTGTGTTTATCTCTTTTTTTATTAATAATATTTTTAATAATAAATTAACTGATAAAAAGAGATAGATATAAAAAAATTATATACAATTTTTTTATTATATACGTAACATTATTCATGAAATATTGTACTGCTAACTATACGTATTTTAAGATATATAATTTAATTTATTAGCATAGTAGTGGCGGATGTACCTAAATGACTATGGGAGCAATTGATCCCACAGCAATTTTTTTTTGTACTTATATTATATTGAATAAAAGAAAATTTGCTCCTATATAACATAATTTGTTTTAAAAATAAATGATAAAGAAAAAATAATAAATAAAACAAGGTGTAGAAACTTAGGTATTTGATTTATGTGTAACAAGATAATGTATTTTAACAAAAAAAAAATTAAATTACAATTTCAATCCTTTTATTTTTATCAATGTGTAATTTTGTTATCCATTTTTGATTGTCCAAAAAACATGTTTCGAAATCATTTTGAATAATTAAAATATTAATTTAAATTATAAAATATTGAATTAAATAATTATTTTATAATAAATTTGTTAAAAATATTAATATTTTAATGACTTGGATGACGATTTGGATACATATTGAATTAATGTGTTTTAAGACTTGTCACCACTTAATAATGAAATATTTAGTGATACCACATGCAAAAATAAAAAAAATTAAAGTAACATAAAATATTTACATCTGTATATATTTTAACGAATAATTGATACTAATTTTATTAATAAATTTTATCTGTATATTTTTTAGTTATTTTAATTTTTAAGTATTATGTTATGAAATGTCACATCACTTAAATATATGTAAAGATTAAAACTTAACAATTAATAAATATAAATTTAGTGTGAGACTAAAATTTTGTATTTTTAAAATTAGAATTATTGGATTTATCTATTTTAAAAAAAAGTGAGTAAAATTGTGAATTAAAAAAAATCAAAATTATAATTTAACTATTTTTTTTTGTAAAATATTAAAAAAATTGTCTCACTAAATTTTATTTTTTTAATACAGTCACTGAACACTACTGATGTGTGTTCAAGATCCAATGATATGACTATAATATTATATATAAGAAAAACCATGTGAATTTTTGCAAAATTATATTAAGTTGAATTTCACCTTATTAACATTTTTAGATTTTTTATTATATAATTGTTATAAAATTAATAAATTTATTATACTATGATAACATAAAAATAAAAGCTTACACTGTACATACATTTAAATTATTTTGTTTATAAATAATATTAGTATTCATTTCTCTATCTGTTTTGGGTTGCTAGTCGCTTTGCAGGAAAAGTCCATTTGGATGGGGACAATGACATAACGAAATTGACATTGTACCTGTTACATTACGTGCATGTTTCAAAATGTTAATGAGAAGTTTAAGTACTAATTAAGTATCCGTGGAGCTTGTTTATGAATCTATCATTAACACATGCAAAAGTAAAAGTTAAACTAAAGAGCCTTTGGAAAGGAAAAGGTTGAGTTCCATGTGTCGTTGCGTAAATTACGTTGTTTCGTTTCTTCTTCAATTGCTATTTGCTTATTTGACATTAGGATCACAATGTGGGCCGTTGAGGGGTATGGAAATATCTTTCGATTTTCGTTCGATAAAAATTTATCTCCTATATGTTTTATATCTGTGTGAATATTTATAAATATTTGTGATTTTCTTTTTAAATCTTTAAAAAAAATATTACAAATAGATTTAAGTTTGGCTATGTTAATTTTATTCAAATATTAAAGATAAATAATTAAAACTAATTTTTAAATATGTATTCAATATTAATTATACTGAAATATTAAAAATAGTATTAAAAAGTATAAGATAAATATATAGATGATTAACTAATTTTACCTGGTGGTACTCACGGTGATATATATTATTATATTTATATCCACTCTCACTTTTTTATGAATAAAAAAAAATCTTATTTATCATTAATAAGTATTTATTTAGACCATCTATTATTTATGACAATTTTTTTTATAAATACTCACATATACGATTTTTTTTCTTGTCATTTCTAGGTGACATGTGCTTTGCATCGGGGTGTGCAGGATTTTTTTTTGTCCTACAGGCTCATTACTATTTTTTTTAATCATCTTATTGATATAAAAAAAAAACATAAATATGAACTAATGTGAAATTTAACCAAATAAAAAATAATTAAAAAGTTTATATTATTAGTTCAAGTTATTGTATCAATTTAGATTTAAAAATTGACAAATCTAATCAGTTTAGTTTAGATTTTGAATTTTGATTTCTACAAATCAAATTAAACCAATTTATCCAATTAAATAATAATAATTATTATAATTATAATTATCATGTTTAATTTAAGTTGTAAAATTTACACTTTTGATCTAAAATAAACTTATTCAATGTAGAATCCTCGATGACCTGAGTGGTGTTGACTAAATGAAAACAAAATGTTTTAAATTTGTAATGGTGTTGTGCACGATAGATTTGTAGATTTTGTTTTAAGTTTGTACTATTGTTAAACTTGATAAATTTTGGATAGTTTATAATATTAAGTTGTTAACAAAATATTTTATTAGTTGATAACACGATAATATACTTTACGAATTGTATAATGTAATTTACTTTTTCTTTTCATTATTTTAACTAAAAATCCACTCTGATTTAAACTAAACCAACATTGGATTAGTTTAGATGGAATAGTGAAAAATGAAAAAATCCAATTGTACCAGAGAGACCTTATCGGTCACGTGAACCAACACGTGCTGTTACATCAGACACCCACGCGAGCTGAACCATGTCTATGTAAACCTTGACGAAGGACGAGAATAGTCTACTAGTAAATATCGGCTCGGCTGAAGGCCGATGCAAACAACACCATGATGCATCTCCGTACACTACGTATCGGCTCGGCCAAACGCCGACCAAGTAAGGTAACTGAATAAGCATTTGTCGGCCCGGTCAACAGCCGAAGACGTGCAACTTCCCAAGCTTTAGTCTGTCGGCTCGGCGATGTGCCGAAATGTTAAACGGATTATAGTACAAATCACAGTTAACAAGGATAAGCGCATGATTAAGACATGATTAGCTGATTAGCATTGTATTACCTAATTTGGTAAGTGTCAGAAAAGGCCCACCATGGTCAGACCCATGTCAGGTATTATAAATAGGTCGCACGTAATGAGGTATGTCACTGTTCATTATTGACTCTAGAAAATTGTGTTTGTCCTGACTTGAGCGTCGGAGTGCCTTTTACAGGTACCTCCCCCCTTCCGAAGTATCTACCTGAAGCTCCTGTTCGGCCCTTCCCCACAATATTACGAGTGTACCCTCAGACAGGTACACCAATCAATTCTAATCGATTAAAATTTAATTAAATCGGATTAAAATATATCAAAAATATTAAATTAAATCTGGGCTTTTTGACCAGAATAAATAAATAAATAAATAAAATTATTTAAATAAATTAATACAAAAACTAATTACTAAAATAAATATTTTTGTCAAGTAAGATGTATAAGACGTCATGGAAAGTGACGATTTTTAAACATCTAAAAAAGTGCCCCCATATCACGTGAAAAAGTGCAAAAATGGTACAACATGTTACATAAAAAATGTCAATAGTTTTGACGACTTTCGTATTTGAGGAATGCTGCATAAAACATCAATCTAAATGACATTTTCTTGCTCCGTGGTCTGAGTGGGTTTGACCAAAAACTCAAAGAAATCGTCATTTGAGTTGACAACTTCTTTGCCACATACACCAATGCCGAGGGTGCCACATTCGTCACCATCAGGCCGTCGAGGTCGCCGTTCCTTATAGAGGTGGAGACGAAGCTGCCAGCTTCGCTGGCTCCGAAGGCCCCCACGACGATGACGTCCAGGTGGTAGGGCACCACCACACCCCCATGCTGAGGGGGATCACGTCCACGCCGTCAGTCACAATGGCGTCGAATACGGCCAGGATGTTGGAGTCGTAGCAGCCAATGTTCCAACAGACCTTGTAGACGATGAGGCAAGCCTTGGGAGCTATCCCGGCAGCCATTCCTTTGGCGTAGCCCATGGTGGAGGCCGAGAAGATGTAGCTTTGATGAGGTTTTTCGCAAACCTATCACTTGGCAAGTGAACCAAGTTTCGAAGTAGTATTTAAAGATCGTCTTCAGGGATTTGCGTGTTTAGTAATTCTCGCTCAAATGATTTAAAAGAGAATGAGTTTAAAAATTCAATTGAGTGAAAACAAATTCAAACAACACAATAAAGAAAATGTAGTAAAGACAATGATTAAGAAACAAGGATTGGCTCAGATGCACTTGCTAACTCATAGATCTTCTTAACATAAATGCAATTCTAATTTCATTATTTCCACGTTCATTAAATAATCCAACAAGATTCCTCAAGGTTGAATCCTAAAGTCATTAAGCTCAAAACATGATTCCTCAATGTTTTGAGTCTAACACTTCGCATTAAGAACAATAACTTGAACAATGTGACTAACCAAATCAAGTCTATTCCTAGAACAAGAGGTGATTAGGTGCAAGATTCAGTTCGGGTTTTCGAAAGCGTTTTCCAACTGGATTCAAAAGCCAAAAATCATACAACGGTTGATCAAGCCGATATAAGCGTTAAGCGAAGAATCATTACACAAATAATGAGATCAAAATGCATATATTTAAGAAGAAGAGGAGTTAGTAGTTACATCTAACCAATCCTTAAGAAGTTTAGCCACCCATGGCCATTACAGAATCAAAGAGTGAAAAGAAGAAATTACAAAGCAAAGGATGAAGAAATGGAGTTGATCTTCGTTCCCAAAGGATCCAGCTTCCAAGTCTCTGTTCTTCCTTCGTTCTTCCTTCTTCCCAAGCTTTTCCCCTGTTTTTCTCTGTTAAATTCGTGATCCGTATCATCCCCCATGTTCCCTTTTATATCAGCTTTAAAACAAGGCCAAAAAGTAACTTTTATTTCCACGGCTACAGCTGCAGATCCACGGCTATAGCTGTGGAGAGTCCTTCAGGGTGAAGAAACCTCCAAGGCTGCAGCTGTGGTTTCACAGCTATAGCTGTGGCAACTCCTTCAAACTTAAGGAACCTCCAACGCTCAAGCGGTGAAGCCACAGCTATGGCTGTGGATCTCTGGAGTTGGTGTTGGGTCCTGGGTGCTTCCATGGCTTTAGCTGAGAGTCCACAGCTTTAGCTTCAACTCTCTGGAGCTTCAAGTTTGCATTTCAGATTTCCACAGCTCGAGCTCCAGATCCACAGCTATAGCTTCAAGTCTCTGGAACAAAAAATGAGTATTCCAGATTTCCACAGCTATAGCTGCAGAACCACAGCTATAGCTGCAAGTTTCTGACCTTCACAATTTCTCCCCAGATTTTCACAGCTCGAGCTCCAGATTCACAGCTATGGCTGTGGATCTCTGCCTTCCTAAAAAACCTGCAAAAAATAAGGAAATTCCTTAAGATTTTGCTACTACTCCTCTACTCTTTTAGTATAACTTGATTCTTTAAATAAAGGGGGTAAAATAACATATATAATATTTACAATTACCAAAAAGAGTACCAAAAAGTTGAGTGCAAATCATGCATAAAAGACACTCAACAAGCTTCTAGCGACAATGGAGGCGATGTGGGTGTCGTGAACGTCGAAGTCTCTAGGGGAGCAATACTTGAGGGTACTGTTCATTTTGTCGTTGGTGGCTTTGTAGCTGGCGTAGAAGTAGCAGTCTCTGATGAGCTTGCGGTTGCATGGGGTGAGAAGGAAGTGTTCTCCGGCGACGCACTCGTATCAGTGCCTGTGCTACAAGACGTCTTGCATGGTGACGTCTTCTATTTGAAGAAATTTGTAAAGAAAACGTCCACCATGGTGACGCTTTCCCTTATACATGCATGTTATGCACAACATAAAACACAATATGAACGGAGGTAGCTTGTCTAAAGAAAACATTACATGTAATGACGTTTTTTACATCCTCACTCTCCTACTTGACAAAAATAACTCATTTTTGATAATTAGTTTTTTAATTAATTTATTTCAGTAATTTTATTTTATTTTTTTAATTTATTTTGGCTGAAAAGCTTCAAATCTGATCGGATTCGTACCTACCCAAAATAAAATATGAAAAATGATATAAGGTCCGAAACCATCATCCAGAAATCATTCCGAATGATAAAATATTAATTTAAATTACAAAACATTAAATTAAATAATTATTTTTATAATAAATTTATTAAAAAATACTAATATTTTAATAATTTGAAAGATGTTTCGGATCGCATTTCGGAAAATGTATCTTTACTCATAAAATATCTTGCTGGGCCCGTACTAATTTTATTTAATTTGTCGTATTTTTGTCTGTGTCGTATCATACCTATATTTTCTTGTGTTGTACTTATTGTTTTTAGTCAAACTTTATTTACTTTCAGCTATCCCACACACTTTTTTTTTTAATTCACTTGTACATTAAAATTTACAACAAAAATTCAATTCAAAATTAAGCTGGGACTAATTAAATTTAAACCTTTGAAATAAATATAAAATATAAATAAAAAATAAAATAAGATACTTCATGAATTAGAAGTTTCGCGACTTCATAAAAAATAATATATCCTTAAAAAAAATATAATTCTTAGAAATGCTTATGTTCAAGAGTCACAGTGAACAATTCAAATCTCACAGCTTCGAATAAAACACATGAGTAATCATTGCTTTCAATTGAATATCATCACTCTAGGAAATAAAAGGAAATGAAGATTGATTTTTCCTATGTTATTGGAATAATTCACAATTGTATCTCAGGAACATATCATCTATATTATAATTATATCTTCATGTAGATAAGAATAACATGTTTAACACTTATAATATCTCTTGTAAATATTTAACATATTTGTTACAAAATTAGTTTTGAATATGTAAGCAAAATATGGTGTATATCAACATGAATAACACACAATTTTTTTTCTTCATATTCATGCTTTATAATATCATAGCAAGAAAACAAATCCTACATGAATATAAAAAATTCTAGAGATATATATTTATGGGCATTACTACTGAACTCTCTATAAAAGTAGGATTTTAATATTGTAGGTGATATGTAACTGATGTGTATTTATGTGTTATTATTTAAAATTCATGTCAGTTTTAAGTTTTTATAACTAAACATTCACCTTTTTTCCCCGTATCTTTCTCGCTTCACTTACTCACTTCCTGGTTTTTCCCTTTTTTTTCTGTTATCTCTCTCATGCTGGATTCAGTTCAGGGAGTTCAAGCTTTTTATTATAGAGTGTAAATATTTTTTCTCTATCTAAAGTGTTTCATTCTTTCATGGGATAATTCACATATTTTTAAATTCATCTCTTCCAAAGTGTTTGATTGGAGACAAATAAAGGGAGGAGGTGAGAGAAATTTTTATAAACTTTTTATTAATTGATTCAACATTTAGGAAAGAAATGATTCAGAACAAAATTCTTCCTCGTCTAATTATGGGGATTTGGAAGCGAGGGTAGAAATTTAACATTCTGAGGACACATCTACAATGATTCCGACATTGATGCCTCATTTGCCAAGTCCTTACAGAGCAAGTGCCCAAGAGGTGGAAATGACGATTTACTCGAACTCCTTTACCTTCAAACTCCCACCCATTTCGATAATCTATACTTCAAGAATTTACCAGATAAAAAGGGTCTTTTCCATTCCGACCAGGAGCTATTCAATGGCAGATCCACAGACAAACTGGTGAAGAAATATGCTACTAATGCAGATGCATTCTTTAAAGCCTTTGCAAAGGGCATGGTTAAAATGAGCAACATCAAGACTCTCACGGAAAGCTAGGGACAAATCAAAATCAATTGCAAAAAAGTCAATTAAAAATGATGCATCAAAAGTCGGAAACAAATTGCAATTAAGTAAAAGAAAACAGAAAAAACCTGCGAGATCAGTCGACAAAAACAGATCGCAGAAGGGGATTTAGACAATGAGAAAAAAAATTGGTTGCTTACATGAATATCGTAAGTTTATTAACCTTAATGCTCCATTTTCAAAATCACAAAAATCCTCAAAAACAAGTGCGAATATGATGAAATAAATAAAATCCAAACAATTACAAATTAAAAAGTGATTTATACATGCAAAATCGTTCACAACAACATCAAGCACAAACCATTAATACTACATAAAAAAAAATGGGAAGTGAAGATGAGAGAGATACAAAAAAAAAATGAAAAACTGAAATTCAGTTATAAAAGCTGAAAAATTGAAGTGGATTTTAAATAATGACATATAAATACATATCAGTCATAGTACCAAAACCCCTCCATAATTGAAAGTAACATAGAAATTCTCTATATTTATTTGTGTGGTTGAGTTTAGATCATGGTGCGCAAGTATCGGTCTGATTGCACAACTCAGTTAAATTTGGGCTGAATGAGTGCAGATTGCGTCTTTGATTTTTTTTATTTTTTATTTTTATATGAAAGTATGGAGAGGTTGGAAAGTTTTAGTCCATGATGGTGCACGATGAAGTAGAAGATTCGTAATTGATTGGCAAGAAGTTCATGAAGGTGAAAAGGTACATGTAATGATGAATAAAAATAGTGTCCAAGACTATATATAAAGCACAACAGAATTTAGACAAACGAATGTTCCAAGGATCCTCCAGCAAACAACTTAGGTTACTGTAACAAGTGGTATGACATTGATCTTAGTAGGAGTAGCCTTTGACAAACATTCCCTTTGTGGCTTCCTCGGATTCACCCTCTGCAGTGTACTTTCCAAGCTGAGCGAGAGAGTTGGACTTGGCACGGAAAAGAAGAGCATCTTGTGCTGCCTTTACATTCTCAGGGCGTCCACCCCATGTCTTCAAGCACGTGTTTTGGAGGGCTCTGGCGTAGGAGAAGGACACGTGCCATGGGTTTGGACCCTGGTTCATGGCATTCAAGTTCAAGGTTGCTTCAACCTCAGATTGTCCACCAGACAAAAACTGCATGCACAAGGCTTTGGTCACAACCCACGACCATTGTTTCTAGTAACAAACATAACATTGATGAGAGTGGTTTAATTACTTACCATGATTCCAGGGACAGCAGGTGGGATTCTCCTGTGAAGGAGCTTGAGGGTGTAGTCAGCAACTTGCTGAGGAGTGGCCTTGTCTTTGGACTCAGCTCCTGGGGTAACCATGCTAGGCTTCAGGAGAATACCCTCAAACAGGACATTGTTCTCAGCAAGGTAGAAGAAAACCTCAGCCCACACCTTTTGAGCCACTTCGAATGTCCTGTCAATCCCATGCTCACCATCAAGCAAGATCTCTGGCTCCACAATTGGGACCAACCCGTTGTCCTAATTAATCATTCCATTCCATCATTAGACCTTCCAATGTAACAAAATGCATCTCCTAGTCTTCCATAATTTCAATGCTTACCTGAGAAATGGCCGCATAGCGAGCTAAACCCCAGGCAGCTTCCTTCACTGCCAGAGCAGAGGGACCATTGGGGATGCTCACAACAGTACGCCTATGATTTATGCATCAAATACAAGTCAACTTTCGCAATAACATGTTAACATAGGCATCAAATTAGATATTCTGATTTTTGTTCCAACCGCACTCACCATTTCGCAAAACGGGCACCTTGCTGGTAGTATGCAGCTGAACGAGACGCAAGACCATCCAGTCCTTGGCACCATGACTCATCGTTCGAACCAGCTAGAGGCACCAAACCCTATTGTTTACAGTACACGTATTAACATACACACTTCCATTTGATATATACAAGTTACAATAACGATACCGGAGAGTCTGAATTCATTCTCTCTACTTGATATATTATAGAAGTTGATTAAAAATAGAAAAAAGACTTTACTATGTAATGTAAAGTACTAAATTCTACATCTGCATGATTACTCTGCCTACATGTAGTAAGTAATTAAGTGCTTAATGAAGTAAAATTAGTGCATAAGGTTTCATAAACTTGTATTGAGCACACACAAAGGTAGGAAATAATTATAAGATGTGGTTGGAGGCTTGGTTGCTTACCTTATCGACCTTAATACCAGGAACAATCTTCTGCTCATGAAGTACGTCGACGATCTTCCTTCCATCAACAGTGGATTGGTAGAGAGTTTCCTCAAAGAGAATGGCACCAGAGATATACTCACCAAGACCGGGTACTGTGACAAGCAGGGTACGGTATGCCTGGCGGTTAGCTTCAGTGTTCTCTAGTCCAATTGACGCCAAACGCTTCCCACACGTGGCATTAGACTCGTCCATGGCCAAAATACCACGCCCCGGTGAGGCCACTGTTTTCTGCACTCACATAAAAACCAGCATGAGAATAGATGGAGTACAGTAGGGTTGTAAATTGTAATGTATTTGCAGCGTAAGAAATAATTAACATACGGCGGTTTTGACGAGCTCGTCAGCATAGGAAGCGGCTCTGACGGTGAGGGCTGAGGCTGAGGCGGGGTTGCATCGGACAAGAGAGAGTGAAGGTTGGCGAAGGGTTTGACCCTTGACCCACTCGCACTTGTCGAGAACAGGAGAAGACTTGAGAAGAGTAGCAGAAGCAGAGGCCATTGTTGAGTGCCACAGACCACAGTCTTATCCCTGCTACTACCAACCTTTCTACCACACATGCACTCCCTCTCTCTGCATTTATAAACTCTCCATTCTCCAAGTGATGTTTCGTTTGAGGCCAAGGTGACCCCGTGTCTCCTCGCTTGACACGTGGATGATAATCTCTGCTGACATGGCATCCCGTACGTCGTTCTAATCATGTTTAGGGACACCATCTCTGTGTGAGGTTACAATTCAATTGCCCTACTTCCTTTGTTTCATTCTCACTAACCAATGGTTCAGAGTTCAGACTCGTCGCTCAGATTCAGGTTTCCCTGTCATTCCTTATCAATGTCATCGTTCATCCCTAGTCCCTACCATGCAAAAAGCCACTGAAATTCAACGGCGTAAACTTGTTACCGTATACTCACACAAACACAAACACCAACTTGCTTCATGCCAGAAATAGAGAATTCTTCGTCGTTTTACTCAATTATTGTATCAGAGAGTTACAATTGTTACTTAGTTGGAGATTTTTTTGTTTTTTTTTGTTTTTACCAATAATTGCAAACATGTTTCTTTATTATTTTTTGTAAGAAAATTTAAAATACAAGACATGAAGTTTATTTTTAAATTATTAAGGAAACAGCTCAAACTAAAACGTATCCATTTCAACTTGAAGCCTTTTCATCTTGGAAGAAGATATGTGTTTCTTGAGTAGTGTTAATAGACAACAAGATTGTGTTGCCTCTACTCCATAGGATCCGAAATCGCTATAAAGATTTGAGGAACACCCGAATACTAGAAAGCTAAGAAACTTAAATCGTGTTTTTGTTTCGTTATCAAATTCAAAGGTGCATCTTTAGATATTTTTTTTTCCTTTACCGGAGAACACCAAAAATCAGTCAAATCACTCTCGGGTTAAGGAGGAAGAGATGCTCGTCCAATTTCTTCTTGTTTTTGTCTTGCAAAACTACTCCCTAAAAAAAAAGCTAGGCCCACTAAATCAAGCCCAACTGTACTTCTTTCTATTTCCATAGTATTACACACTGGACCTAATTCTTTTACATAACCGGCGCAGCCTAAAGTATAAAGTGATCGAAACTTTTTTTTTTTTTTTTTTTTTTTTTTTTTTTTTTTGTAGTAGAAATGGTAGATGAGATAATATCCTTATAACTATCATAGAATAGTCAATGATATACCGAAATTATTGTACTAAACATTATTATTTATTTAATAATTAGCTGAAGTTCAACGATGTCTAATTTGATGTCGAAAGTTAAATCATCAAAGAAATCTCGTATCTAACATTAAGATCTCTTTAATAGGTATTTCCATTAAAATGGAATTTTATAAAACTCACGTCATAAAAATCCAAAAAAAAACTTTTATTATTGCTAGTATTTACTGAAGTTTTATAATTAATTATAATAATTAGGATAAAGTAAATACCCCAAAGGTATTTACTCACCAAATTTAACAGGAATAAGTTATAATGGTTGTTAATATAGTATTCAAGACACTATATCTGCACTTATATATATA